TTGCTTAATTATTAATTTTGCTTAATTATTTTTTCCAAGGTTGTCACGTAATTGCAAAGTGAATACTGATGAAACACAGGAATCAGTAGACTGCAGATTTTACAAAATGTTCTTGCGACAGAAAAGGTTCTTCCCTGTGGTCAAGGGCTACTCTCTGCATTCCTCCCCACTCCCCCTCCACTATCAATGTCAGCTCAGTGCCAACCACTTTGTATTTCATAGTCACTCAGTTAAACAAACCTTTGTTTTATTCTTTGAAATGTTCTGCTTTCCAACAGCAGCAGGCCCTCTGTTAGAACTATTCTGAGATTTAGCACTGACAGCAGCCCATCTACACCAGTTTCTCCTAAAGCTGCTAGATCAGCCACTCGACCAAGCTCAAAAATTGAGACTTCTCTTTCAAAAATATTTAGCCTACAGAAGGCCTATTGTAATAAAAACCCACAAAGCATGCTATACAATGACAATAAAAGTAGCTAGAAGAGAAAGGTAAATGCTTTTCAATTTGAAAAGCTCCATCCTACAGAGTCCGCGTCTACAGACTTCTAAACACACAAAATAATGCCACAGTCATATAGCACTACAAATGCACATAAGCGATTAAAGATTCAGAGTAGTGTTATAACACAGCAACAGAGAAACTGAGGCAAAGAGAGCCTTACCCAGTTTTGCAATGTTCCCCCCTTCTCTCACATTCAGTGTAACATTTGTCTCTGAGTTGTTTTCTGACAAACATGAAAAAATCAAATGACTCAAAAAAACCCAATTCCCTATAAAGTTTTGCAGATATTCATGATTGGGTAGAAAAGCAGCACTCATACTAGTTTCTATCTTTAATAAAAGGCAGGGAAGAATTCAGGCAATGCTGGCCATGCAGCCTGGCAGTAGTGGGACAACCAACTAGCACACACACATACACAGCTCCAATGCAAATATACAGACCTAGGTGTAAGGCAGGAAGATACAGGCTACAAAAGACAGAAAGACAAAAACTCCTCACATACACCAACATGAAAATCATAGAATCACAGAATGTATTGGGTTGGAAGGGACCTCTAAAGGTCATCTAGTCCAACCCCCCTACAATAAACAGGGACATCTCTAACTACGTCAGGCTGCTCAAAGCCCCATCAAGTTCGACCTTGAATATCTCCAGGGATGGGGCTTCCACTACCTCTCTGGGCAACGTGTTCCAGTCATCCAACACACTCATATTAAAGAACTTTTTCCTAATGTCCAACCTAAATCTACCTTTTTCTAGCTTAAAACCATTACTCCTCATCCAATCGCTACAAACCCTTGTGAACAAATGGGCTTCATTACCTCCACTGCTCACAAGGGAACTCTTCCACTTAAAATTTGGTTTTAAATAATTAATGGATGTGACACTTCATAATTGTACGAGGCAAGTCTCACTAAACTCGAATGTATCAAGAGCGACTGTAGATAATGTTTGCAAGTTACCTGCACCTCTTGATTGCTTCTCAGACATCTTCATTACACTACTGTTTCATTTTGCCTTTTCCTATTTCATCAAGAAAGCTCATTAACTCTGACAAAATGGTGATGAGGGAAGCAATGCTTGGTCGTTCTAATACTCCAGTATCAACATTACTAGTTTCCTACTAATCCAACTGCATTTTAATTACAATAAACATTTAATTCTGGATGAGAATGGTAAGCGCAGAGTGAAGAAATGCCTCTTAGGCATAGCAACAAAGACAGATGAAGGAACTGACTTCCTCCTCAAGAGTCAGATCACTAAGTTTTAACTCAGCTGAGCAGCAACCAGTAAGGAAAGGAGAAAGGATGCACTTGAAATGTGTAACAGCAATAAGCTAAGAGTAAACATTTTTGTCAGTCCAGAAAAGAACAACCAAGAACAGAACAAAATTAAAGCCGAATGCTCAATCAAAATATTTCTCTTTCCTTTTTCAGCTGTTTCCTACATTTCACCAGCAGAGAGATGTTACTCTGTAAAATAACTGCATTTCATTATTGTTAAATACTGATGCTATGTATACTTTTTCCCCCACCATCACTAATAAAGAAATGACTAATCAAGACTTAAGAAATCATCTACTCTGTCACTAACCTACCCCATCAACTTTAAACATTATACTTTGTCAAAAACTTCCAAGTTTTCATGCAGTGATCAATTCAAGTGACCCCAATGTTTAATCCATTTTGATTTGATTTACCAGAAGTGAGCAAGTATTAATACTTTAATCTGGATTAGCGACCAATACTGTGCTCTACTCAATTCCCGAAAATAATTTCAGAGAGCAGTTAGTTTTGTGGCATGAAGCATTTGCTTTTAGCTCATGGGTCTTGCATACGGTTCCATTATCCTAATTTGCTTATCAAAGTCCCATTATCACTGATTTTCTTGTCAAATTTTTGTTAAAAATTTTCACTCTAAGAACCAAAGCAAAATGTTTGCTAAGTTAACTGAAAGGATCATTCCTTGTAGCTTGCCTATTCCTCAGATCTCTCACCTTTTCTCCAAAATCCATTTTTCAAAAATTCAGCCTGCATTTTTTTTTTTAAACTGATTAGTATATTTATTCCAATCTGTTACTTCTATGTATGCTCATTTTTAAAATTCCTTTCCCTCTTAAATCAACAGTAATATGCTTCTTTCTTCTCACTGAAGTCTTTCCCCCTTGTTAAAGACTTATGTCTTTAAAATCAGTTCAGGAAAGTGAGATTATTCATTCTATCCACATTCTAAGCCACTAGTAGCACTTTTTTTTTTTGACTTCTTCCTCTTCATAATGCAACAGTTTTTAAAGCCTTTGCTATTCTTCTTTACTTCAAAAGGATAATCTAGATTACATGGCCTTGTAAACCACTGGCCCTTAAATTTTAAGGCCAAGCTGGACTAAAATTTCAACTTTCAGAAGACTTAACATTGTATATCACAGGCAGAGACCAGCAGAAATACAGATAGAGCAGAAGAATCATGTCCTAGCAAAGACAGGCAATTGAAGAGATGACAATCCCAAAAAGCAATCCTTATTTTTAATATTGCTGGGAAAGTTAAAAACAAAAATCCATAGACCTTTGCCTGCACAAAATGACAAAAGAGCCAATGCCAAACTCAAACCTGAATTAATTAGACTCAATTAGCATAAATTCTGGTATCTGAGCAAGACACCAGTTAGCTATGAAACAGAAACATGAATATCATGTCAAAATTATCACCAAAAAAAGAGCAAACGTATTTTTCCTGTAAATAAGTATAAAGAAAACAACCAAAGATTCTCCAACCTTCGTATCGTCTGGTCAAAAACAAGAACAGTGGCTTTGGGGCAGGGGAAGGAGGGAAACAAATCACAAAGATGAGCCTTTCTTATCTGAAACTTGGTCAACTTGGATAATTTACCTTCAATTTCTGAAAATTACACATGAATTAACAGCATGCAGAGACTGAAAAATAACTTGAAAATAATGAGCTGAAGGATACAACTTTAGAGAAGGTATCTGCCCTCTGAAAACCAGCCTTCTAGTTGTTCAGAAGAAAGCTATTTGGGGCTGTGAAACTAAGTTGCCCTTACTCAGATCAGTAGGAATATTATTACTGCTCTGGCTTTTGCACTTCGTTACACAATTCTCCTTTTTCGATTAGCAGCATTTTCTTTAAACTATGTGTCTTCTATGCAAACAGTGCTTGGAGACATTCAACATGGCTGCCATAACACTTCAAGAGTTGCTCAGGAAAATGCTAAAAGCTTTCATCCTTCTAAATTTCCAAAGACTGAGAGCAGTGAAACTTTTCTGAATACTTCACAGAGAAAGAAGTTTGATCCCAATCAAAAAAGGCCACTACTTCTTGGAAATATCTGTCGCCAAACCTGAAGCATCTGATCCAGCTGTGCTGAGGGAGCCTGCCAAAACATCCGTAGAAGATCTGGGAGCCACTGCCAAACCAAGAGACATAAACAAGAACAACTGCCAGGAACAGCACGGCAAGATATTCTACCAAGGGGAGAAGGCGCCAGCCTTACACTGATCACACGCCAGTACAGAAAACAACATAAAATTAAATCAACTGTTTCTAGAGACATAGGTCCGGAGTCCAGTTTTTTGGTTGAAATATGTTAAGACAGGAAGTTAACTAGACTAGATGAAATAGGACATGTACTTGAGAGAAACAGTACTATATGTCAGCTAGCTCCTGAAAATCCAGACGAAACTGCAATTTACTGGTGGTGGAGCTATTGATAAAGTAATAAAAAGTAACCCTCAACTGTCAACAGCCTCACACTGCAAACAGCCTCACACTGCAATCTACTGGATGTGGAAAAACTACATCAAAACTGCTGTTGAACAAATGATAGTGCTTAACTATTAACTACCTGCTCCTAAGCTCTTTGCTATCCAGCGTATTAAGACCTTCAGCAGAAATAACTGGGCTTCCTATACACACAACAAAAAGGTAATCTTACAACTACTAACATAAAGAGCGAACGTTAAACTATATTTGTGAGAAAAACATGACAATCCATACTTAAAACTCATTTTCTATCTTACCCACTATAAAATTACCATATAAAAGTGCCATGAAATAGAGAACAATGACAATTCTTCCAAAGTTCTTTATTTATAGTAAACTTTGAAAACATTTGGTTGATAAAAGAAACACTAAACAGCCACCATACAGAACAGCAACTCAAAAGCATATATCTGAGAAAACCAATATTGCTCATTTCTTGCTCATAGTTTCCTGAGGGCATTGCAAACACAGACTACTCTGAGCCACAATTTCATATTCTGTCCCATACTCATAACTTATTTCACCTAGCTAAGAAAGATTTGGTAGGCTGCAAGGCTAGGGCAGAAATGAAGGAATACAGAAATGCTTCCCTACCCCCTCCCACCAGCACCAACCTTTCTCCAGACTTGACCAGATATGTTTTCCTTCTACCTTGTAGGACCTCATTTTCCAGCTCTGAGATCCCAACGGAAAAAGCTAGCACCCCAACTGACTACTGCCTGACCTGACCAACAGCTGATTTAGGAAAATGCTGGGAAAGAGAGCAGTGCTTCCAAGCTCAGTACGTTACCATTCTTTTAAGTATCAAGCAAGAATACTTGCTGGGAGACATTTCCAGCAGAAATACAAGGCTCTTTCTTCAGAAACTGGCAAACAATACTGCCCACACACTCTTATAAATAGCCGTCTTCAGCACACACCATTCACAAGCATCACATTTACTTTAAAAACCATTGCACACCTATACTGAAACCGTCAGACTAGATCAGATTAACTGACTGTAGCCTACTGATGCCAGTAACAGAGGCTAACATTGTACACTGCAGAAAAAAAAATACACGAAAAGATAAAAGATACCTACGTAAAAACTGCTAATAAGAAACCACCAGGTATTTTTTCCCAATCTTGACAGCAATTGCTGCATTAGGATTTACATGTCTTAATTTAGGCAGATTTTACTGAATGCAACTGGGGGACATTTTCATTATCCACATGGAAGTTTGATTTTTGATTTTTTCTATCTTACAAAGCCATTCTGATAGCACACAGAAATGTATTTACACAGTCAGATAATTTTAGATAAATTGCTAATTTATCTGGGTTATGAAGTACTAGAGATATCCCTAAGTAATCAGAAACTGCTCCCTCAGTTTTGAAATACAAGAAATTTTACTGAACTTATATACCTTAGAGCAAATCTTTAACCACACAAGAACGTACTCCACTGCCTCTGTCTTTTTAAAGTGACTCTAATCTTCATAATCACGCCTCAAATGTAAGCCTTTCCATGGCTATAAATTCCAGTCTCCATCATGCATACATTTGCTATTTTTCCATGCTATTTGATATAAGACCAGCACAATAACAAGGCCTGTGCAAAAAAGGATATCTACCTCAAGCGTTCTTCTGAGAACTCCCCAAAGAGCAAGCACTCATGCTGGAGCCCTGAGGCTACTGCTGGCCAGGAAATTGGCTAGCAGATGAATTGGTTGCTACCAGAAAGAGTCAAACTAGATGGTGCAAGGCATGTCTCATGTGAAAGCAGACCATACGAGCAAATCTAAATGCAATACAGTAATGTACAACTATTAGTGTCCTTTTAAAATTATCTAGCAGCAATATCCTATTCCTCATTTGCATCTGTGTACATTTCTAATCTTATTTCTACTAATAAAAACAATTTAAAAGAAGTTTATTTTATTAATGACAAATAGGAATTATCTGATAGGAAAATGGTATGTAAACAATGATTACTTTGCAGTAGTACCATATACTCTTTGGTCAAGAATATTAAAAGACATTTTACTAATTTAAAAAAATCTTAAAACTTAACTTGGCCTAAAATAAATCAGTTGAACAGAAAGACTTCTGGAAACACGGTAAAAAAGCTATTTGTTTGCCTCAAAGATTAGAATAACAGGAAAGTATATGATAGAATAAAATGGTAGCCTGAGGACTCTACCCAAATCCCCCTCAACAAAGAAACAGACATTTGATTAACTGATAAACATGAACATTTTTTTCCATTCCTCACAAATTAGCCTCCAGAAGATATTCCTGTAGAGTCTATCATACTGAAAAGACTAAAAACTTCGCAAGATTAAAAACTAGTAATTACTAGACTGAAGACAGTTATTCACAATTTCAGTTGTCAGAGATCATTAAACAAAGCTGGTACTTTGAACAAAAAGAGAACACACTAATTCTGGTGTATAATCTATACAGTTAGGTGGAATTTTACTAAGGAAGAAGCATTCATCATTGATCCACTGTGGGTTTTGTTTGCATGCTAGCTATTGTTTTTACTGTAATGCAGACATTTAGACTACTAGGTTTATCTAGTATACCACATTTGACAATTTGAGAACTGAATATATACAGAAGAAATATTTCTTGGTTTTGTCAAATACAAAGGCAAAAGAAAGTATTTGTCTTCAGAACTTCATCATGCACTCATCACTAAAGCAGCGTACCTTTCTTGTTTAAGCGCATATTCCAGCATTTTGATTCTTCGCACTAGATCCTTCTTCAGATTTTCTTGTCCTTTCCTTTCACCTTGAAGAAAGGCGATCTGGGCCTGCAAAATGAACCATTCCATTTAGAATCTGCTTCCTCAAAGCCATTCAGCATAGCTCTTAAGTGTGTGTGTCTCCCCCAAGTTATTGTAAAATTTATTTGCATAGTTCAAAAGAAATTGGCTTACTGCGTTTCACAAACACAGAATGCTTAGACAAAACACTGCACAGATAAGTCTTCTAAACTGCATGCTCACTGCTGATCAAAAAAAAAACAACCAACCAAAGATAAATAAAACAATTTCAGTTTGTTTGACAGGGTTTATTTTTTCTCTTGGATAAACGTTCAATAAAGGATAAGGAATAGATAAAATAAGCATACAAAAAGCCTTCAGCAGATAAAAGCATCTACCAACAATGTGCAGGAGAAGATGATAAAGTATTTTTGCTCACTAACTGAAGTAGTATACAATTAGTGTACTGTTCTGTAGATACATGTTAGATACATGACACTAGTCAAAGAACTGAAGTACAGCATGTTCAGCTAAAAGAAAAATAAAATCCTGTTTGGAATACAGTGCCAAGTGTTAATTATAATACTTACTAAAACAGGTTAAAGAAAGCTCTCAAGAAATACTGTAACAGAGAGAAAAATGGAAAAACAAGGAAAGGTATTTTGGTGAGGGAGGTGACAAGAGAAATGGTATAGAAGTAAAGAAAAGTCGAGCAGAAAACAGACACCTAACCTTTATCGACTTCCAGCAGAGAGTATTTAGTTGCCTTTGAAAAATCTCCTTTAAATAGAAAATTATTATATACGCAGGATATTAATTCTTAATCATAAAGGCAGAACTACCTGCTTTTGTATCTCATGCTCAAGTCCATTATAAGAGACAGGTTCTTGTGCTCTCTCAACTCAGGGATATACTTTTAGACAAAAACACCTATGGGCAGTCACCACTTCACACCTTGGCCTCACCTACATTGCAAGCCACCTGCCATTTTCAGGATCAGAAGCCTTCTGCCACCTTTGCAGCTAAGTCTCCACAGCCTCGTCTGTCTCTTGAGAAACACAAACAGGATAAAAGACAACTGGTCTAGACCATCAGCTGTTGAACATGAAGACCAGTAAGCCTTTCATTTATATAAATGCCCATTGCAGCTCTATAAGCAGTGTTATCTGTAGGTACTGTAGTCTATACAGATCTTTAGGGAAAGCCAGGGAGAAACAAGCAGAATTATCCTCTCCTCACCCGCCACAACCTTGCAGGCAGTCCCAGATATTTTTAGCTAATGGAGACAGACACTTCTAAAGAATAACTTACCTGACTTCAGATTTTTACCCCAAGGTAAGAAAAACAGTGTCTATAAATGCCATTTTCTCTCCACCAACTATAAAAGGAATGCACACAACTAACTCAGTTGAATTTTGGAGATCAGGCAAGATGAATCTTACTTCAAAAGGCCATTGGTGGCCAGCTATAGCAGCTGCTCTAAAATATGACACTAGCTGACATAATTTCATTGCTCAAGTACAGACAGTAAACAGCTTGACACCTGAAGAATCCTAACCACCAGTCACCAACTAGAGCAGCCAGTTTATGATGAGTGAAAAACACTTGGCTGCTCTCCAATGAAGTTGGTCTTCACCTTCAATGGGGGAAATGCATTTCACTGCCAAAAAAACCTCAGCTGAATCAAAAGAAAGGCCTTTGTCACTCTGGCATGTAGCTTTTCCTCACTTAACACTCAAACTAGGATGAACAAAAAAACTACAATTGAATTCTAATGTTTGTTTTATGCTCAGGTTTAGGGAAAGGCACAGAAGAAAGAAATGCTGGCACTGGAGTCAGCATTTCCTACCCTGAATAACATAACTACGCAAGAAGCATGTCAACTCGACAAGGTCACCATCCCTCTCAGTAACAAGAACACCTCAAGCATATACAACTTAGTTTGCAGTAACAGTGCAGACAACCAGATTATAATGCATATATTATTGCACTGTGATAGTGATTTCTCTCTCCCCGCCTCCAAATAGGCCCAGCAGAAATAAACAAGTGCCCTTCCAGCCAAAAAGTGAGAGAACATCAAAGCACACTATTAAAAATAGTAGAACACAATATAAATATGCATTTGGCTGGAATGAAAAAGCTTATTCAATGCCATCAGGACACAAGCTGAAATGATCTATGATGTGTGACTTGCTGTCTGCAAGCAATTTCTAGCTAAGAATGAACTGACTGAACAGGCTGGAATGAAGCATTTTTACCCATCAGGTTGGCAAATAATGACCTGGCTCACGCACTGCTCTACTACAAATATCAAACCAGCATTACCATGCTAACAACTGAGGTTAAAGTTGTCTTCCACTGGTAGCAGCCTAAACAAAGAAAAAAAAATGCAACTTCTCAGTAGTTTTGACAGCAAGAGAGAGACATAAATGTCTCCTTAGTGAGAGAGAGACATAAATGGATTTAAGAAATATCATATACCACCTCCTTCATGCGAAAATGAGCAGAGTCACACTTCTGATACAGAGGAGGCCTGGCTCCACAGCTTGTCTGACTAATCATTTGAGAACCAAAATTCAAAACTGTTACCAGAAGCTTCCTAAGCATATAAAATAACATAGATAATGTTCTAACTGTACCTCTGGAGCTGAAGGATCTGCATCTTATGAATCAACATGAAGTAAAAGGATTGTGCTCTGCCTCCTCGGGGCCACTGGCAGGCCATAGGTATTACACGCATATTGCACAGGAAGAAAGAGCATTGAAAGAAATATTGATTCTTTGGACACCTTTTATTGTCAGTGGTATGCCAGTGCTCATACTGATGTCTTGTAACTTTTCTTTTTCCTGGACTTCCAAGAAATCATTATGTTTCTTACTCAAAAAGCATGCAGCAACAACAGAGTGGAATTCATGGCCCAAGAGCCAACTCTCCAGCCCTACACAAGCTTATTACCAGGATCTTTCAAGGTTACTACATACTTTACAGATCAGTAGTTTTACTGGCAAATCAAGAAACAGACCAGTGCACCAGAGGGCTTGAGAATAATTTGCCTCTCTCCTTGCAGGCTGTGCAGTTTCTAGCAGTTTGTTCAAGCTTTTCTTCCAAGTAGCATCCTTAAGTCCAATATTCCTTACTTTTGAGAAATTCTGGCTCTGAAAATGAGAATGCTTACATTTGATCATTTTCATAATAGAAGTAAGTATATATAAGTAAAAAAAAAAAGTAAGCAGAATATTCTCCCTATTTCCCACAGGATGTTAGCAACCCTTAATGCTCATTTATATAAGTACTGGATAATTACAATTAAGTCAGCCTCAGTGGACAATAAAACATCAGTTACATATGTAAGCTCAAATTTTATTTAAGAAATCCTTCATGATAATATTCAGGTTTATTTGTAATACACAAAAGCATCGCATTAAAATAATAACTGAAATTTTATACTAACAATAATACTGTAACAGTTCATATGTCATAAGCAGATTTCAATCTTCACAATGTTTGGCAATTAATTGAAAATATGCAGAGGAACCTAAATGTTCATACCATAACTGAAACAATTTGTAGCATAAAGGAAAACTGAATAAATTACTACACTGAGTTTAAATATCTAAAATGACAAATGATGAGATCGAGCAGTATTTTCTCAGTCTCTAGAACAAGACAGCGATAACTCTAGGATCACAATTTCCGACCAAAATATTTAGCTGACACCTCTCTAAATGTCTGTGCAAACATTTAAAGTGTAAGAGGTCTGGTTTAAACACGATGAAAAGCATAACTGAACTCTACAACTACAGTTTTCTTATAATTCAGACGTAGACAACAGAATTTTACCAGTAGATTGAGACTCCAAAGGCCATTTCCCATGGTTGCAGCTTCAGCACAAGTCAAACCTGAAGCCTGCGCTACCTGAGGAAGCAGGAGAGCAAACGAGGATCTCTTCCGCTTTGAATGATCTGCAGCACTCTCCTACACTTGTGCTTTGGCCACTCCCGGGAAAGTCTGCCAGAAATTTCAAGAATTCACAAATATGCCCAACAAACAGGTTCCGTGACAACTAACCTTCTAGCCTAGGTTAAAACGCATCAGGTTGTAAGCTAGTCATAGCAAACCTCTAAACTGCCTCCGGGGATCACCCAAAACCTCACATTGTTCCTTGCCTTATGGGTGGGGCACATACATCGCCTCCATAAAGCACCCTGCCCACCGGCTCTGCAGGGAGGAATCAAGGCAGCCGCTCAAGTTTATTCCAGGCTAAGTGCTACAAGTTACTGTATTACAGCTGAACTGTGAATTTAAAACCAAGAAAGTCAGGAAAATAAATAAATAAAAATAATTAAAAAAAAAAAAAACCCACCACCACAAAAAAAACCCACCACCAATGCACCACCCAGGGAACATTGGGAAGAGAGATGCCTGGAACAGCTACGATTGTACAGTCCAGTTTTGGGGTGGGTTTTTTTTCCCCACTTTTCTCATTAAAGTTTTTAGTATTACCAACTGCAACAAAACTTATTAGTTTCACGTGCATCTGGTCTAAACTAATAGCACTTTAGCTATCTTAACTAGTCCACGTCTTTACAGAGAGATTTTAAAAATAACATTCATTCTTATGTTAAAAAAAAGAGTCTCATGGGCAACAACACTGTTATTTTAAGAAATTCCCCAAAAGACTCCAAGGTCACATTACTGTGAAGGGGACAAAAAGGGTGATGCAATGCTTTAGGTAGCATTGGGCTAGAAACAATTTTTTTTAAAGTGTTGTTGACTTCCTAATACAGGCTTAGCAGCCACAACAATATAATCAAATAATGAAATTGCATCTTAACAAATTCGCATTTTACCAATGTTTAAAAAGGCAAATTGAAATTTATACTTCCTGGAATCAGCAACCACAAAAACAAGGACGTTGAAAAGTATATTATACCTGCACACCTTTTTAGGCTGACACCTTGACATTACAAAACAGCAAGAGATTAGAAAAATATTTACCTTTAACAGAAAATGTTTAAAAAGAAACAATACTACGGCTGCTAAAAAA